TATTGAATTCGAAATAAAAAGAAAATTATTTTGAACAAAATAAAAAAAGGAAATCTATAGAAAATATAGAAGTTCTGTTTAAATGGTTTCCTAGAGTTTTAAATTGGAATCGACTTTGTGAGACTGTGTTTGGAGATACAAATAAAAAGATATACAGATGAGTAAAGTTTGGCCGATCCTCCACCTTGAGGTAGGCATTTAAAATACCTCAAAACGATATGCAGACTTCATTATTGCAAATTGTTGACATATAAATTTTTATTCGTAGACCAATCTATATAATGTTCAATACCAAATATCACAGTATGGGCCAGGAATCCAATTTTTTGCAAAATGTCAATATCATGTAGAGAAGAAAAAACGTTCTATATCTTAAATCTGGAGACTTCGAGTTTTATTTGCACATCGTAATATTTATTCCAAACATAGTTCAGTCGGTCCTTTTGTTCTGGTACCTCCCCCTCAAGGTGTCAATCTTAAGGTAACTCGTGCTAGCAAAGTGTCGATCTGAAGGTAAATCATGCGAGCTTCGATTTTTTGGGGAACTTGTTGAAACATAATTTAATTAGATCAGTTTAAAAAATGACAGCCATTTTCGATCCCTATTGAATTTGTACTGTTTTCTTGCAGAATCAAAATCAGCATCCCCGAAACACTTATATGTGATATTTATTTCATAAATTTATTGCTATAATTAAGGACAAAAAATTGGATTTCTGGTCCATAGAACATCATATGAACACTTACGGAAGTGGTTAAACAGACATATAATTATATTCAGATCATAAATATAGTTTAATAGGCCTTCGTCCAAGCGTCCAGAAAAAAATAAATTATGTTTATGGGTGACTAAGTGCGTAATTAGGTTGCATTTTTAAAAATCCCTTAATATAAACGTGCTAAATGGTTTAGAAGAGAAATTTGGCTAAGGCTCTGAAGGTTTAAAGGTACATTGAGGACCCTTTCTAAAATTTTAGGAATATTTGGAATAAATAAATCTCGCCTTTTGATACTTAGTTACCAATTCAATCCAGTAAGGAAAATTAAAAAAATTTAGATATAGCTCCCATATATAGTTTCGTTCGATTTAATGTAAATGGTGCACCAAACTTCCAATATTTGTCCGATTGGGACAACATTTTGCACAGAGTACTGAATATGGTTCAGACTGGTGTCTGCGAAGTTTTGTTAAAATCGGTTCAGATTTAGATATAGCTCCCATATCGTCCGATTTTTTGTGAATGATACACCAAACTACCAAATTTTGTCCAATTGGGACAAAATTCTGCACATAGTACTGAATTAGGTCCAGACTCATGTCTGCGAAGTTTAGTTAAAATCGGTTTAGATTTCGATATAGCTCCCATACACAGTTTCGTCCGATTTTATGTAAATGATGCACCAAACGCCTAATATTTGTCCGATTGAGCAAAATTTTGCATTGCGAATACAATTAAGGAAAAATTGAGGTGTGATATGGTTTGTTGAAATCGGTTCAGATTATATATTTCTTGTTTACAGGTTTGTTCGATTTTATGGTGCATGCAAAAAATCCAAGTCTGCCCGTTTGACATGCATTTTTTCATTGATTTCAGAATTGTATGTGTATGGGGTTTTTAATCGGTAAAAATATCTATCTAATTTCGCCCGTTTCCATCCGCCAACGCCTCTATGTCTGTTCTATCTGCAGGATATTATAGATATTAACATCTCTTGTATGTAACCATAGTGGTGAAGGGTATCATATAGTCGGCCCCGTCCGACTTTTGATATTTTCTTACTGGGTTTTCCATTGTAAAAAAATTGCGGATGCGTCTTTTTTGAACACCTGTTTCTATATGAAGGAGTTGCCAGATCGAAACTAAATTTAAAATGAAAGAGATGGAAACACTTATTTTTTCTGTTTATACCGCGCTTTTTGTGCTAGGCTTAGAACTTTCTGAACTGCCCTCGTAGAGATTTAAAACTGAAATTTAAATATTTTCACATTTAGCTTTTCCTATCATATTTTCCCGAAGCGAGCATTTATTGTATAAGATGACAATTTTACGCCTTATAGTATGGTACTGGTAATTCTAAGCAATATCAGAATCTTATATCCCTGTAAATATTGAGGAAATAGTATAGCTAGTATCATTTTAAAAGTCAATCACTCTTCTTCTCCAGACTATGTCCTTCAGAAGTAAATATATAAGCCATTGAATGCAAGTTTAACCCTCTCGTTATTTATTTTTTTATGAAAAACAATCCAGTCCTTGGCCAGATGCCCTCCGTGTAAAGTCCCAAAATCGCATTATTTTTTATTATTATACCCTACACAACTATGTTGTCAGGGTATTATAGCTTTGTGCAGCCCCAAATGTTTGTAACGCCGCGAAATATTGGTCCTAGACCCACCTTTAAGTATACCGATCGTCATATCTCGACTAGCTGAGTCGATCTAGACATGTGTGTCCGTCCGTCCGTCCGTCTGTCCATTATAATTTGTAAACACGATACAGGCCACAGTTATGGACCAAACTTCACGAACTTCTGCCCAATGAAGACCCCTATTGTTTTTGGAAAAGATCGGTTAATATTTAGGGGATGAAATGGACCAAAAACATTATTTTTGTCGGTTTTTCTGGTCGCTCCAGAGGCCGCAATTATGGCCCAAACACCGCGAATTTTTGCATGGAGAAGGGGATCGGGCCAGAGAATAAGCATGCATGTTTTGATAAAGATCGGTCAATATTTAGCGGGTCAAATGGACCCTGACTTTTGTGTGAAAAATGACAAAATTTGTATTCTATGGCATATATATTTACTCCTGGAGGATGTAGACCCCAGGAGGAGTGGTTTTCCTTTAAATTGATACCAAATATAGTGATGTATCTACTCAGATGTGGGAGTTACAGTCAAATATTTACAGGTGCTTACGTATTCAGATATTATTTAGTAACCCATTACCACATTAGAGGGAGAAATATCGCGCTGATGGCTTTGAAATTTTTCATGAAGTTCCAGTTATGGTCAAGAACAACGCCTACAATTTTCGGTGATGATCAGATTAAAATTTTGGGATGAAATGGACCGAAAACATAATTTTTTGTGTGTTTTCGAGTAGAGTATAATCCGAAAATCTCAACACAACCTACCGTGAAGGTAATCTGGACAAGTAAATAGAAGGATTGTACTGAATATTCGAAAAAAAGGAAGAGGTGTTGTTAACCTCTAATCGGACAAGAGGGGGCAAATATCACGAAATATTACTCAGACTCGGAATAAACATCCTCAGAAAGTTAGAGTTCGTGGTAGTTGTGTAGGGTATCGCATGGTCGGCCCCGTCCGACTATACTGCTCCGCTCACTGGTTTTTTTTTTTGTTTTTAGAAACACATGATTTTCGTGATATTAGAGTGGTTATTGTGACCAGAAAACTTTTTGGTTCATTTCACCCCCTTAATATTAATTTTATTATTGTCAAAAACTATAGGAGTCTTTATAGGTCGAAAATGGATTAGTCCATAACTTTGGTCTGATTAAAATGGACAGACGGAAAATGCCGACTCAACTATTCGAGATATGACCATTGGTATACCACAATGTTGGTAGATAACCAATATTTCGTGGCTTTACAAACTATTGAAGCTACAAAAGCTGTTGCGCACTTAAGGGAACCCCTCCCCCCATTCTCGGGGTCAAAATTTTTTTGATTTAATTCAAATCTACACTAATTCAAGAATGTCTCTAAAAAATTTCAAGTGTAAATCTCAAGAACTCTTGAAGATGTAGCCGATTTATTGTGTCAGCATCAAATGACGGCTAAAGGGCTTCTCAAACTTTAAACGCGTTTTTCTCTTTTGCGAATGGCGTGTACGACAACTCAAAAACTAATAACCCAATCGATTCCAAGTTTTTACACGTTTCTCTATGAGTGTATAGCTATCGTATGAACTATGATAAAGCCAATCGGTAAAGATCTTCCTTATTTTTTAACTTGGTTCTTCGTCAAAAATCGGCGATTTTCAAAAAATATTTTTTCACAAGTCCGCCATTTTGTTAATTTTAGGGCGAGGTCAATAATCCTGGTTCCTAGTTTCTAACACCGTTGACATTTTCGGATTCCGATGTTCCAGTGAGGAGTTGTCATGCCCGCCATAAAGAATAAGGACTTCTTTTTAAATACAAAAAACAACAACAACAAAAATTTTTAAATCATTTATCTTCCTTTTTAAATCTTCAAATATATATGTGCAAAGTTACAAACCTTAACAAGCATTGGTATTGATTTACCAGCCCATTGAAAATCTTGAAAAATTAAAATCGAGAATGGGGGGGGGGGGGGGTTCCCTTAAGAGATAGTTGTGTAGGGTATAAAAAAAAAGGATTTTTTATGAGATCTCGTCCATAATATATGCAATCAGGCAGTGCCTTTAAAAAGATCGAGTAATAAATTAAAGTAGCATTACATATATTTTGGACGAGTAAAAAATTTAAGAGAAATGTTATAATATTCTCACATTTTTTCAAAATATTCATATTCCGATAATTGCCTGAGATTCATTCAATTATGAAAACAATGTGTCAAATATGACTATACAATTATTTACAAAAAAAATATTTGTTTTTTTATTTGTTAATGTTCATCTTGATGCGTAATTTTATACATTTTCGATCGATTTCATTATAATATAATTAATTCTCTAGTACAAAAATTCTTATTGATCTAAAATAAATAATTTACATAAAATAATATTTATAAACATAACAATATTTAACCTAGTTTTTAACATTTTTTAAAAACTTTTTAAATTGGATTTTTTTCCTATTCTCAGTTGGGGGAGATTCGAAAAGGTTTTGGCACACGCACATTTTTGTTGATCATCACTCATCCACAGGCATTTTTTTGATACCACTTCTATTTTATAACATCATTTAACCCCGGGACACTAAGGATAGAAAAATAAACACACTTTAGTATTCAGGACGATGATCCACCGCACTTTTTTCTTCACTTACGTCTACTAAATGTTACTGCTCTCCGGCAACGATTACGATGATCACGTAACAGACCCTTGGGACATGGAGCTTTTCTCTTATCCATTACCAATAACTGAGAATGTAGCACTGTTCCATCTTTGCGATAAAATATCACACGCTTCGCTGATGTCGGCAGGGGGGCCATGGCACTCATCAGGATAATTGATATTATTAATAATCCACACAGTTGCTTTGTATTCATATTTGTTTCCGATTTTTTCTTTAACTTTTTGTCTTTTTCAACTGTTTGTTGCAAACGTAATTGTTTATTTTTAAACTATTTAATTCTTTGAACTAATCTCCGCTATTTTTCCGATATAAGAAAAAACAAAAACAAAAGAAATCGCGCTCCACTGCGTAAATCGTTTCGTTTCGTTGTGATGTGATTGCCGCAACAAACAAATTTCAATTGATTAGATTTCGAACACGTTCGTCCCTATACATTCGCTTCTTTTGTTGACTCTCTTTTCGGGGGAGAGTTATATGGGCCAACATTGACTATCGGCTATTGCTAAATTATTTCGAACAACAACAACAACAAGAACTAAATGAGCATTGCTTTATGATTTCCCTTTTGATAAGATAAGGAATACAATAATGATGGGGGCATGATGAAGAAACAGTAAAACATTACTAAACAAAAAATGAACCCGGGGAGAGAACTTCGTTTAACTAATTTTCATATGAAATTCCCTATAATCGTTTGTAGAAACCAAAAAAAAAAAACGAACTTGTCATTATTTAATCATTGTCTACAAAATCAAACGACTCCATGGTGAAGTGTAAAAATTCCTTAGATAAGAATTTTATATGACAAATCATTGTTAAATCAGTCGCTGACTTTTTACCACCATTCATTGAGGCAGTGCAATATTTATTGATAGTATCATTACGTAGTAGTAGCAGTATGCAGTGAAACAATTTGTATGCAATACTCACTGAAGGCGCCATAATGTACATGGACAATATTGCCAATTTTTTAATATTCCATTTCCCAAAAATCGGCTTTGTTTGTTCTCGTACTAGATCAATAATTTTGGGTACACATCTACAGAAAAATGTCCCAAATCCGAATCCTTTCGCCATTAAATTTTTGTTTGGGGTGCACAAATGTTATCGATGTTTTAATTTTGGGCATATGAAAAGAAATCTTAAAACCCAGTAAGGAAAGTAGTAAAGTCGGACTGTGCCGACTATAAGATACCCTTCACCACTTTGGGTATATTCTTCATATGTCACCTAACCAACTCCGCCTTTTGGAAAGAACATTGCCATGCAATTGAACAAACTTCTGGTCTTGAATGTATGCTAAATTTCTTTTCATTCGGGAAAGTTTAGAGTTGCTTACGTACTTAATTTAGTACGCTATGCCAAATTTCGTGCAAATCGAAAGATATAAAGGGACTATGGTGCACCATTTACATTAAATCGGACGAAAATATATATGGGAGCTATATCTAAATCTGAACTGACTTTCACGAAACATAGAACACATCATTCTAGATGTAATTCAGTACACTATATCAATTTTCGTGTAAATCGAAAAATATAAAGTGGCTTTGGTGCTACCTTTGCATCAAATCGGATGCAATTATATATGGGAGATGTATCTAAATCTGAACCGATTATCAAGAAACTTAACACACATTACTTCAGACTTATCTCACTGCGCTGTGCCAAATTTCGTGTAAATCCAAATAAACAGGGACTGTGGTCCACAACTTACCTTTAATCGGACGAAAATATATGGGAGCTATATCTAAACCTGAACCGATTTTCACGAGATTTAACACACATCATTCTATACTTAATTCAGTGCGCTCTGCCAAATTTCGTGCAAATCGAAAGATATATAGGGATTTTGGTACACCATTTACCATAAGTTGGGGCTATATCTAAATCTGAACCGTCTGTGGTTAGGTATTTGGTATTTTCTCCGCTTCATAAGAAGAAATTTATATTTTGTCTATATTTTGCATTTTGTGTTGGAGGATAAGGAGGCTCAACCAATCCGTAGAAGCCTTTCGAGTTGTCCAGGCAATCATACACTGGGTCGCTCATATATATAGATGAACTAACGTCTACATGACACAACTATTATGATAGGGCACTCCTGTGGGTTACTTCTATTAGCTGTATCATAAGAGGAATGTCGTAAATTCTCAGTTTCAAAAAAAAAAAAAAATAATTGTGCAGCCCCAAGAGTTTGTAATGCCGCGAAATATTGGTCCTAGACCCACTTTTAAGTATACCGATCGTCATATCTCGACTAGCTGAGTCGATCTAGACATGTGTGTCTGTCCGTCCGTCAGTCCATTATAATTTGTAACACGATACAGGCCACAGTTATGGACCAATCTTCACGAAAATTTTGCATGTAGGATGGTTTCCGGCCAATGAAGACCCCTATTGTTTTTGGAAAAGATCGGTTAATATTTAGGGAATAAAATGGACCAAAAACTTTATTTTTGTCGGTTTTTCTGGTCGCTCCAGAGGCCGCAATTATGGCCCAAACACCGCGAATTTTTGCATGGAGAAGGGGATCGGGCCAGATAATAAACATTTATGTTTTGATAAAGATCGATCAATATTTAGCGGGTCAAATGGACCCTGAATTTTGTGTTAAAAATGACAAAATTTGTATTCTATAGCGTATATATTTACATCTGAAGGACATAGACCCAGTTAGTTTATAGTATATCCAAGAGGAGTGACCTTTAAATTGATACCAATTATATTGTCGTATGTACTCGGGTGTAAGAGTTACACTTAAGTATTTACAGGTGCTTACGTATTCAGATATTATTTAGTTGCCCATTACCACACTAGAGGGCGGAAATATAGCGCGGATCGCTTTGAAATTGTCCATTTACTAGATGTTAGTAATATTTGTTGACCTCTAAGTGGTCAAGAGGGTGCAAATATCGCGAAATATTTTCAATGTTCAGAGTATAGAACCATAAAAAGTTAGATTTCGTGGAAGTTGTGTAGGGTATCATATGGTCGGCCCCGTCCGACTATACTGCTCCGCTCACTGGTTTTTAATTTAATTTGAAGCTATAACTTCTTAAGAATGTTTCTTTAAATTTTAAAATTTCAAAAACTCTTGAAGGAATACTCGTGTGTAAGCCACATGTGGCACCGGGAACTTTTCTCAACACTTTTATGTTTTTTTAGTAACAGTATTTTTACGATGGGAGGGATAACTTAAAATCTATTAAACCAATCGGTTTCAAATTTTAACACGTCAGCTTTAACCTACATATTTTTAGTATGGACTAAGATCAATCCAGTCGGAGAAGATCTTCTCTATTTTCCAGTTTGGTTTTGGTTGAAAATATGCTATTTTCCAAACAAATATTTTCCTAGGTCCGCCAATGTGCTCATTTTCGAGCGAAGTCAATAGTCTTAGTTCCTACCAATGCTACTCTTCCTAATTACGTTGGAATTTTGAGGTATGACATCTTATTATTTGAAAACAGATGGAATAATTTTCTTTGACTAAATTGAAAAGAGAGATGGAAATGAAAGTGCTGCTTCATCAAGATAAAAACGTGGAAACTGCTATAATTAGTCCACCATTCATAAGAGAATTTTCAATCTGTTAAACATGTACATATATGGTGGATGTGGATTATCAATTAAATTTTTCTGAAACCTCCAGCAGAACAACCTTTTTTATTTGTATTTGTTGTTTTGGTGTATATTTTTTTGCAATTCATTGCCATAAATCACACTCTCAAATCAATTTCCGTTGCTTCTTTGGAACGGAAGAACAAAGTCCACATAACCCATGACATGTGTGACTAAATTTAAATATCGAATATCGATCTGATTTGTGGGTAGATCCCATTTTTCTTATCATCAATGCTACCTGCCGACAGCCCTAAATTATCACAAAGCAGAGAGTGTGCCATTCATATCTCGCTTTTTCTTTAAAACCAATCAATACCGCCATAGTATTTAAGTTGAATTAATGAGTAAAAAATATGACGCTGACTTTAAAATACGTAGTTTGCGTGAAATGTGATGTCATAATTACTACATAATGACGAACGATACAAGGGGTATTCTGGCATAGTAACAATATTGCGGTGTATAATTTTACTATTAAAAAACTTCCGAAAAATTATTAGGTATGGATTAAGAAAAAGGACAATAAGAAGTGGAAAAAAGTGTAGATCGAACACTTTTTTGGAAACTATATGACGAAATTATATTATATTTAAAAATACATTTTTTTAAACTGAGAATGAAGGGTCCCCTAAATTTCTACGAAACGGGTTTCCTGCGAAATGATCAGCGTCTGTTGACCCGTTTCCATTTAAGTTTCCTGTATATGACTCCCAGATATTTATTTTTCTTTCTCCTTAGAAGTATTATAACTATCGTAAACATCGCGAATTATATAATCCATACTCTCTACAAACAGCGGAGTTATGTCCAATATTTGGATGGAGAAATTTAGTGATATTTGATCCCAATCCATGTTTAAAGCTATGTTCAGGTCCTTTACGTGATGCTATAATGTTTCAACTTGATCTTCACAAATTGCAACGTATTCTTAAGGGGGCCTCCCCCATTCTCGACTTTAAATTTTCATGATTTTCATTGAGCTGGTAAATGAATACCAATGCCTGTTAAGGTTTGTAACTTTACACATATATAATTGAAGATTTAAAAGATAAGGAAAATAATTTGCAAAATTTGGTTGTTGTTTTGGTGATTAAAGAAAAGTCCTTATTGTTGATGGCGGGCATGATAACCCCTCACTGGAACATCGGAATCCGGAAATTCCAAGGGTGTTAGAAAAAGTTCATATTTGACTCTCGTATGAACTAGGATTAATGACTTCGCTCAAATATGATTGTTTTTTTTTTTTTTTTTTTTTTTTTTTTTTTTTTTTTTTTTTTTTTTTTTTTTGGATATTCGACTTTTTTGACCACAAAATAAGTTACGAAATAAGGAAGTTCTTCATTGATTATCCTAGTTCATATGACAGTTATACACTCCCAGAGAAACTTGTCAAAATTTGGGACTGATTGCATTATTAGTTTTTGAGTTATGGTGCCCGTCTTTCGCGAAAAACCCTGCATCGAGAAAAATGCGTTTAAAGTTTGAGAATCACTCTTGCTGTGACAATAAATCGACTATATCTTCAAGAATTCTTGAAATTTTGTAGGGATATTCTTGAATTAGTATAGATTCGAAAAACGAAATAAAATTTGTTGACACCGAGAATG